ACATCCCAACAAGCCATGACAAAAATAATTGGCCTCGTTGTAGAATTATACACCTATATGTTTTATTTACTTTTAAATTATCTGACTTATTTGAGACATTAAATTGACAAATTTTATTGCATGCGTGCTACTACAGTTTAGACCGTTTTGTCGGGTCTAACATATTTTCGTACCTCGAACCTCAAGGGATTAGTTTCATTTAGAATGGTCTCACGTTAGAATCTCCAATTTCCAAATTCGTGCATGTTTGGCTAAGCTTAAATTGATACTTTTCTATTAGTCAAAATTGAAAATTTAAGTCGCTTGTTTTGACAATATAGTGAATTACTTTTAACATAAGTTACTGCTGTCGATTTTATATTTCGCAAATATATAAGTCGTAATAAGTAATAAAGTAGACCTAAAAGTTCGAATTATCGTTTTCATGGAGACTACTAAAACAATAAAATGAGGATTTTTTTAATGATAATTTAAGTCTTAGGATTCATAAGTTCACAATAGCTATCTCATAAATCTCAATCACCAATTTTTATAACCATTAATTATGTTTACTCGGTTGAATTTTTCTAACATATTCAATTTTCTTTTCTCAAGCTCAAATTGATTCTATTCAACCATGTCAATTCCATATCTCTACGTGAATTCGGATACACCTTAATTAAATGCTTTAAATTTCTAAAAATCCATGTAACGACCACACTAACTAAAAAATGCATCTCTACACTTTCATGCCAATTCCCAATTTTTACTATGTGATCTAACAAATAATCTGCCTCTCGACGTAATTATTGCTCACAATATCATTGAATCAATGCTCAATTAATCCAAATATTAAGAATAGAACTAAAAATAATTCCCAAAATAAATTAAAGATTTAAAATTTTTTAATCAAAACTAGGTTACACCCACTTATCATAACTAAATACTTAACTACATATCATAGGAGAATAAAAATACAAGAAGGAATTAAAGTATTTCACTAGATTTTAAGGAAAAACAGAAAAACGATGAAGATCTTAAACCAAGAATTCTCCTCTTCTCATAATGTATTTAAGACCTAGTTTCTTAATTTTTTTTTCCCATCGTTTTGGACTTGTACAATATGTGTACAATGAATCCCCCAAGCCTCGGCTTAAATATATGTGTCTAATGAAATCCTACAAGCCTCCTCTAATTGTTGGACTAAGGTACATATTTATATAACAAGATTTAGGTAAAATCCTTTTCAATTTGATTTACATCAAAAAGTTCGAGAAGAAAAAGGAAACTAACACTTTTCCAGAAAACGTTACCATCCACTTCATTGAGTTTATTATATATTGTCACGTATTTCCAAATAGGCTTAGATATATCATCATCTGCTCACTAACTTGTTCATGAATTGGAGATGAAAATGTTGAGGAAGCTGAAGTGATCAAATGCAAAACAAGTAGAATAATACTCGTGGAAGGCTAGTAGGGTCATGACAGCTTCTATATATCTGTTCTTCACTCTTTTCAATTTGAGGTTGGAACTTGGAAGGCTAAAATAGTTAAGTTTCAATTGGTTTTTTCTTCCACGGTTTTTGACTCGTAATACGTTTGTTCAATTGTGTGCCTATTCTTTCAAGTAAAGTTGTGCTCCTGTTCTTCTTTTACCTTAAAGATGCGTGTGACTTCTATAATCAAACTACGCTTCTTAATTCTTTAAAAGACCTCAATTAGAGTTTCTCTTCATTTAGCTTCATCCTCTTTCCTACCTAGTACCTACGGAGCTAAAAAGGTTTCCTCTTCCAACGATTCTCTCCCTTTCCCACCTAGCAGCGTCTCCTCTTCCTCCCAGCTGCCTCCTTGCTCTGCTCATTTGCTATTTACTCTTCAGTTTTGTTTCCGTTTCGTTTAGTTTTGATTATTTTAAATGCATTTTCCGTCACCCTTTGGGCAATGTGTCTGGTTTTAAACTAAGAAAAAAGGACATGCCCACCGGTGTTGGACATGTGCGTGGAATGTGTCTGTGTTGGATATGTGTCAGACACAGACACTCCAGATCTAGTAGCATTTCGGTGCTTACTAATGATTCTCTCTCAAACATTGGATTAAGGCACGTGCATAAAGATTGACAAATCAAATTTCCCATTAGAGATCTCGATATTATTGACGTAACAATATTGTCTTATCTGCTACTCATCCTGTCCACACTTGAATGCTGTTCTAGCTGTGAATTGAATAAGTTGATATTTGATTTAAGTATTCATTTTCACCATCGAAACTAATGGCCGGGAATCATTGTCATGTTAGACTGTGTGTGTGTGTGTTTGTATGTCCAACTTTATCTTTATACTTTATTACTGAAAATGCTATTGATACTTCCATGTGGCAACACCAATTTTTTTCCGTGTCAAATCTTTCAGCTTGTGTGCACAGAAGTTCGGAGGAAAATGGATACTCCAATTGCTAGTAAGAAAACATTAAATAATCAGGAACACGAGAGCGTCTTCAAGTCCTAAGAATCAGCCTTCTAAGAAACAATGAAGGGGAAAACCCTGTCCAAATACCACCACCCACAGAGCCATATGCTGATATTAAATGTCCTAATTCGTGGATCCGTAAAAACTCTGCATGTCGAGCCACTATTTCAATAGATGACACATTTTGCAAGAGGTGCTCTTGTTGCATTTGCCATTTATTTGACGACAATAAGGATCCAAGTCTCTGGTTGGAATGCATATCTAAATCTGGTTCAGGGTACTCTTGTGGCTTATCTTGCCACATTGAATGTGCTATCCATCGCGGGAATGTGGGAGTTGTTGATCTTGGTCAATTGACGCAGCTAGATGGAAGCTATTGCTGTGCTTCATGTGGCAAGGTTTTCGGGATACTGGGATATGCTGTTTACTTTTAACATGTTTTTTTCTATTACATGAACCCCACCTCTTTTCTTTAGCCATTTTTTTCTGAAATAGGCTTTATCAAACTATTGTAGAGTATATTTATACTTTTGAACATGAGATGGCGGCGACAAGTTTGTAAAATTGGAGGAAAATCACTTTCTTCTCATGCCATACTATGTCTTGATACGAACCTGAACAAATTATAAATTTCTGTATGGAATTATAAACAGAATGAAAAATATACAATAATATGCAGAGCATTCAATAGGCTCTACTTTTCTTCCAAGACTATCAAAATTCAGACTCCCCTAATCTAAGCCTACCAAACTACCTTCCTTCCTGTAACCATCACCTTCTTGCAGCTACTACTTGTAACCACTAGTAGAACCATCTGGAACCAAGTGACTGGAGCAGTCATTCCCTTTGACGTAATAGCACATGCTTATCAGTCTTTTGATCTCAAACATTAGCATCTAAGTGCACGAACGTAGACTGGGTATCTTTTAG